CAAACACCATGATCAAGTGGGATTTATCCCAGGGATGCAAGGCATCTTCAATATACGCAAATCAATCAATGTGATACACCATTTTAACAAACTGAAGAATAAAAACCATATAATCATCTCAATAGATGCAGAAAAAGCTTTTGACAAAATTCAACACCCATTTATGATAAAAACTCTCCCGAAAGTAGGCATACAGGCAACCTACCTCAACATCATTAAGGCCATATACGACAAACCCACATCAAACATCATTCTCAATGGTGAAAAACTGAAAGCATTTCCTCTAAGATCAGGAACATGACAAGGATGGCCACTCTTGTCACTATTATTCAACATAGTTTTGGAAGTCCTAGCCACAGCAATCAGAGAAGAAAAAGAAATAAAAGGAATACAAACTGGAAAAGAAGTAAAACTGTCACTGTTTGCAGGTGACATGATACTATACATAGAGAATCCTAAAGATGCCACCAGAAAACTACTAGAGCTAATCAATGAATTTGGTAAAGTTGCAAGATACAAGATTAATGCGCGGAAATCTCTTGCATTTTTATACACTATCAATGAAAGCTCAGAAAGAGAAATTAAAGAAACAGTCCCATTCACCACTGCAGCAAAAAGAATAAAATACCTAGGAATAAACCTACCTAAGAAGGTAAAAGACCTGTACTCAGAAACTGTAAGACACTGATGAAAGAAATCAAAGATGACACAAACAGATGGACAGATACATGATGTTCTTGGATTGGAAGAATCAATATTGTGAAGATGACTATACTACTCAAAGCAATCTACAGATTCAATGCAATTCCTATCAAATTACCAGTGGCATCTTTTACAGAACTAGAACAAAAAAATCTTAAAATCTGTATGGAGACACAAAAGACCCTGAATAGCCAAAGCAGTCTTGAGGGAAAAAAACAGAGCTGGAGGAATCAGACTCCCTGACTTCAGACTATAGTACAAAGCTACAGTAATCAAGACAATATGGTACTGGCACAAAAGCAGAAATATAGATCAATGGAACAGGATAGAAAGCCCAGAGATAAACCCACACACCAATGGTCAACTAATCTATGACAAAGGAGGCAAGGATATACAATAAAGAAAAGACAGTCTCTTCAATAAGTGGTGCTGGGAAAAGTGGACAGCTACATGTAAAAGAATGAAATTAGAACACTCCCTAACACCATACACAAAAATAAACTCAAAATGGATTAGAGACCTAAATGTAAGACTGGACACTATAAAACTCTTAGAGGAAAACATAGGAAGAACACTGACATAAATCACAGCAAGATCTTTTCAGATCCACCTCCTAGAGCAAAGGAAATAAAAATAAACAAATGGGACCTAATGAAACTTAAAAGCTTTTGCAAAGCAAAGGAAACAGCAAACAAGATGAAAAGACAACCCTCAGAATGGGAGAAAATATCTGCAAACAAATCAATGGACAAAGGATTAATCTCCAAAATATATAAACAGGTCAAGCAGCTCAATATTAAAAAAACAAACAACCCAATCCAAAAATGGGCAGAAGACCTAAATAGACATTTCTCCAAAGAAGACATACAGATGGCCAAGAAGCACATGAAAATCTGCTCAACATCACTAATCATTAGAGAAATGCAAATCAAAACTACAATGAGGTATCACCTCACACCAGTCAGAATGGGCACCATCAGAAAATCTACAAACAACAAATGCTGGGGAGGGTGTGGAGAAAAGGGAACCCTCTTGCACTGTTGGTGGGAATGTAAATTGGTACAGCCACTATGGAGAACAGTACGGAGGTTCCTTAAAAAACTAAAAACAGAATTACCGTATGACCCAGCAATCCCACTGCTGGGCATGTACCCAGAGAAAACCATAATTCAAAAAGACACATGCACCCCAGTGTTCATTGCAGCACTATTTACAATAGCCAGGTTATGCAAGCAACCTAAGTGTCCATCGACAGATGAATGAATAAAGAAGATATGGTACATATATACAATGGAATATTACTCAGCCATAAAAAGGAACGGAATTGGGTCATTTGTTGAGATGTGGATGGATCTACAGAGTGTTTTACAGAGTGAAGTAAGTCAGAAAGAGAAAACAAATATCGTATATCAATGCGTATATATGGAACCTCGAAAAATGGTACAGATGAACCAGTTTGCAGGGCAGAAGTAGAGACACAGATGTGGAGAACAAACGTATGGACACCAAGGGGGGAAAGTGGCAGGGGGTGGGGTGGTGGGATGAATTAGGAGATTGGGATTGACATATATACACTAATATGTATAAAATAGATAACTAATAGGAACCTGCTATATAAATAAATAAATTAAATTAAATTAAAAAAAAAAAACTAACAAAAACTTCACTAAGAAAGGAAACTATAAGCCAACATCATTCATAAACATAGATGCAAAAGTCCTTAATCTATGAGCAAATTGAATTCGGAAGTGTATTAAAATGATAATACATAATAACCAAGTAGCGTCTATTCCAAAAATGCAAGATTGATTTACTATTGGAAAATCCAATGTGATATACCATATCACACTACATATTATATAATTCCATTGATATAAGCTTAGTTCTAGAATAGGCAAAACTAATTTGATATGAAATCTAAATCTAATACCAAAAGAAAAAAGGAACAATAGTAGCCTTGGGTGGATGGGAGAGACTGATTGGCACAGGACAGGAAGGAACTTTCTGGAGACTTGAAAATGTTCTACATTGTGATAGAGTTGTGGGTTTTACACGAATATACATGATTGCATTTGCTACATTTCAGTATATATAAACCTTACAAAAAATTTTTTTTAAATAACAATAACAGTGGGAAGATGGGGAATGGGTAGAAGTATATGAAACAGAACTAAGAGAATACTGTTAAGTGCTGAAGCTGGGTGAAGGGTCATGGGAGTTCATTATACTATTCTGTTTGGGGGTTTGCTTTAATTTACATAATAAAAACAAAAACAAAACAAAACGTAGAGTTTTTAGTTGAGAAGAAGATATATGAGTCAAAATGTTTCGTAGTTCCCCACCATTACCAATAAAAAGTTACTGTAATTTCCTGTTGCAATTAACAGAGGTACAGTCACTAGTAGTACAATGAATAGTAATTGCCTATACTTTGTGTCCAAGCTAAAGCAAAGAGATTGGTTAGGAGGACTTGCTACTACATACTCTACGAATAACTAGTAAAATTTATTAGGAATATGAACTCTCAAGAAGAACTTAATAGCTTGCTTTGAATATCTGAAGCACTATCACTATTTAGCTTGTTCAGTCAAGAGCCATAAATAAAAATAGTGGATGGAAGTTTCAGGAAGAGTTATCAGCTCTATATTTTTATCATATCTGGCCGTGTCATGCGGCATGCGGGATCATAGTTCCCCGCCAGGGACTGAACCCGTGCCCCCTGCAGTGGAAGCTCGGAGTCTTAACCACTGGACCAGCAGGAACGTCTGTGTTTTCAGCTCTATAAAAAGAACAATGATCTCTCCAAAAAGCAAAGAGGCTGCCTTTGGAGATAACTTCCCTATTTGTGGAAATGTTCAAATATAAGTAGATTTGTACACTGGCAACAATCACAAGAAGAAAACAGCTATTAAGGTTCTTTCTAGTACAGAGATTTTGCAGTTCTCTGAACTATTTTCTCTTCTTTTGATCTAAATTCAAAGAGAGAAGGGCAGGGCTTTGTGGGAATGTCTTTTAAAAAGAATTCACTAGGTGGGTGGGGGGAACTGAGGAGATGTTTTAAGGGTACAAACTTGCAACTAGTAGATAAGTCCCAGATATCTAACGTACAACATAGTGATTATAGACAACAATACTGTATTATAAACTTACAAGTTGCTAAGAGACTAAATAAAATAAAATAATTCAGCCAGAATGCAGTGTCATGATAAAAGCTGTAATACAGCCACAAACCCCAAACTTAGTATTCTGGCATATATGGTTATGAACAGCATGCATAGAAATTTTTGGAAATTATCACAAAAATGAATGGTCTTAGATTTCTGGGCTGACCTGAAAATTTCTAGATTAATCTTTCTTGTTAAAGTAATAAGACAAATTATAAAATCAATCACAACATGCAGCCCTGACCCAGGTACTGTGTCTTCTTTCCTCAAAGAATACTGATTATTGTGGGCCCTCCTCTGATCTAAGTACTGTGGAGAAACTAAAGTATAAGACACAAACCTTATCCCAAGGAAAATTACAATTGAACTACAAAGGCACAAACCATCACCACACAGCGATACTTGGTTAAGTGCCAGAAGAGAGTACAGATAAGACGTACTGTGAAATGGAAAGAACATTCTACTGGGGGTGGTTTCAGCAGGCTGCCTTGAGGTTAAGGAACTCAGAATGAAAGAATTTAGACAGGAATAAAAATGTAATGGGAGGGAGGCAGGCACTTCCAGGACAGGAGAACAGGGTAAAGCAAGCAATGTGATGAAGTAACTTGAAAATCAACCTGAATTTTGTCTCCAGGGAATCCCCAGTATCCTCTCAATGCCTTTGTCTAGCTCTCCTATCAATTTCTTCTCAAACCTTTAGATCAGTGGTTCCCAAAGTGAGGTCCTTGTACAAGCAGCATCATCAACTATCTGGGAACTTCAACTGCAAACTCTGAGGCCACATCCCAGATCTAATGAGTCAGAAGTGGGCAGAGGGAGGGAATGGAGCGGCAATCTGTGTTTGAACAAGTTTTTCAGGTGATTCTGACGGCCCGTTCAAGTTTGAAAACGATTGCTCTAGGACTACCTGATAAGCACAACCCACCGCGCAGGAAACTGATGACGTTCTGAGCGCCTAACTGAGCCACTTTGCTGGGTGCAGGAAGGGAGCTGATACCAGGTCCCAGCCCTCTAACAGTTCAGTCTCTGGCCCAATCTCGCTTTCTCCTCCAGTACCCCTTGTTCCAATCACCATCCCCTATGCCATCGCCTCCCGTATTACTTTACCCTCACAGGGCCCCTCTGTCGCCCTACCTCAGACTCAGAGGGGACGTGGTGCCGGCAGGGAGGAGAACTGCCCAAGGAGACAGGAATAGATGTAGCGCTTGCCCAGAGCCCGCCCAACAGGAGTAAAACGCCTCGGACCCATAAAGAACCGCTCCAGTGCCACCGGCTCGGGCCCCGGCCTGAAGTCGAGGAGCCCGCTCTTCCACCCGTCCCGGCCGCCATCTTCAGGCCGAGCATCGTTACCATGGAGTACGTGACGCCTCCGCGCCCAGCGCCAGCCCCGCCCCTCGCCTCTCCAGGCAGGTGGAGGGACTTAGCGGTGGAAAGGTGCTTCTTGATTGGCTAGCGTCACCCATAAGAAGTTCACCGCGGAAGACGCTGAGTTGCATCACGTCCATCGCGTGTCATTCGCGCGAAACCAGCCAATAAAAGCCACTTGGCGGCCCACGTGAGCTGAGCTGTGGGAAGACTAGTGGGTGCTGTTGGTAATGGGATGTTGATATGTCGGTGTCCTTACTGAGGCAGTTTTTCACTTTTTAATTCAGTTATTCACCGAAAAGATATGCACTCACTAGGTGCCAGGTGCTTAGACACATGCAAAATCTTTTATGGTTAGCTCTCTGTATAAAAGGTAAGTGGAATGTAATTTTCATTTTTACTTATCCTGAGTCACCAATTCTAGACCTACTTTTTAAAAAAATTTAAGTGTAGTTGATTTACAATATCGTGTTAGACCCACTTAAATGAAAGTCATTTTCTGTAAAATCAAATGTGTTCTTTACTATTCAAGCTCATCCCTTAACTTCTATGAATGTAAGAATTGCAACTGCATTAACCCCTGAGACTAGGTAGATCTTTGCCATTAAGGCAACTATCTTAAAAATTGAGCCGTGAGGAACTATAAGAAATTGTAAGTTGGGACAAATCTCCTTGTGGCCCACAAAACAAAGAATTAAAACCAGGGACTGAAAGCACCGAGCTGTAACAGTCATTCCAGAAACTTTATATTGTAAATTACTATGCTAGGAACTGTAGTAGAAAAAAAAAAAAAAAAGGACAGAAAATCCCCAAGAATTTACAATTCATTGGTGAAGACAATGTACTTTAAAAAAAAAAAAAGAAAAAATGGTTGAGGCATTTTACCAGTAGTAGTAGATGTGTCTATCATCCCACAACTAGTGGAAGCTGGGATTTCAAACAAAATATATCACTTTATAACGTACTCTATACACAAAACCACAAAGAAATTACGGATTGTGAGTAAAGAATGATACCAGTCATCTCAGTTTCCTAGCGGTAAAGGCAGTGTCATGCTGGTGGAGGGGCAGTTTCAATAGTCTAAAGGACAAGCTGCTAGCCGTTTTAAGTTCATTTCTGTGAAACATTCAACTCCTCCAATGTAGCTTTGGCTTGAGGACTGCCTTTGCACTGACTAAACCTCGCTATGGGTGCAGAAAAGCATAATACAGGCTCTCACTCCCCCCACCCAACCGTCTCCTAGTCCCCCAACTTTGTAAATGCACTGTTACCCGCTCAGCAACCAAAGCTAGGAAGTTAGTTTTGAAGACTCCTCTCTACAATCAATTGGTTTTAACATTCGGTTAATGTTTAGTCTGCTCTATTAAAGTACTCAAGTATCTCAGTTAAGACTGCAAAGCCTACCTGGTTTTCCCTTCCTTCAGTTTACGCTGGGTTGCCACAGGGATCTTTCTAAAATATGAATCTTGTCACCTGTCACTCAAGCTCTTCAGTGACACTCTAATACAAGAATATTGTTAGAACTTCCCTGGCAGTCCAGTGGTTAACACTCAGTGTTTCCACTGCAGGGGGGAAGGGTTCCATCCCTGGTCGGGGAACTAAGATCCCTGACATGTCATGGGCAGTGTAGCCAAAAAAATAAAAATAAAGACTAGGGCTTCTCTGGTGGCGCAGTGGTTGAGAATCTGCCTGCCAATGCAGGGGATGCAGGTTCGTGCCCTGGTCCGGGAAGATCCCACATGCCGCGGAGCGGCTGGGCCTGTGAGCCATGGCCGCTGAGCCTGTGCATCCGGAGCCTGTGCTCCGCAATGGGAGAGGCCACAACAGTGAGAGGCCCACGTACCGCTGAAAAGAAAAAAAGACTATTGTCTAAAATCCTGGCACCTGGTAGTTTTCTAGACTTACCTTCCAATTACTTCCAATTGGTTTCAGTCACACTACATAACCCAGTTAAATTGTTCAAGTGCCTTCTGGTTTCGCAATGTTTGTGCCATTTCCCTTTTCTGAAGTACCACCCCCAAGCATCTCTTCCTCTATTCGACGATCCCCAAGAGTACAGCTATTTAACTGGCACAACAAAGTAGTTAACCTTTAGTTTATGTTGGCTGTTTTTTTGTAAATTATGTTTTGGCTCCGTTGGGTCTTTGTTGCTGCTCACAGTCTTTCTCTAGTTGCAGTGCGCGGTGTTCTCATTGCGGTGGCTTCTCTTGTTGCGGAGCATGAGCTCTAGAGCGCAGGCTCAGTAGTTGTGGCACACAGGCTTAGTTGCTCCGCAGCATATGGGATCTTCCCGATCCAGGGCTTGAACCCATGTCCCCTGCACAGGCAGTCTTAACCACTGTGCCACCAGAGAAGCACCACCCCGCCCCCACTTATTTTTTAATGTCTTTTGGTTGTGTCGGGTCTTAGTGCGGGCTCTTCCTTGTGGTGCACGGGCTTCTCTCTAGTCGTGGCACGCGAGCTTACTTGCCCCGCGGCATGTGTGATCTTAGTTCCGCGACCAGGGATCGAACCTGCATCCCCTGCATTGGTAGGCGTATTCTTTACCACTGGACCATCAGGGAAGTCCCCTAACCAAATTTCAAGTTGTGGGGCCATGAAATGAACTGCTTAGATCCCACGAAGAGAGCATAATTGACCAATGACTCCAAGCTGCTTCTCGTTACCATCCACCTCATTTGTCTTGAGGCCATGGCTCCCAAGGGTTGCTGCCAGACAAATAAGACTGGCAGTACAAACACAAGCCCCTTTTCGGTGACTTCCAACAGCAATTTTGGCTTCAGGGCCACCATTAAACTAAGCAAACCGTAGAACTGCTGCGCGCCTTCATGCTAATCATTTTTTAGAATCTGCTTCTTAGAGAAAACAAATACAATTAAAATCTGTTAAAAGGGGTGCTGTTTGGTAAACTCCCAGTTTTCTGTTGGTATTTTCAGTGGAATGTCAAGATCTGTTGGTTAATAAAAGGAGTACCTGCTACTGCATCAAACACCTAAATCCACCATACTCAAACTGATGCCTTGGTTCAAACTTGTAATCAGCACATTCTGAGATTTAAAATATTCTGCAGCCCTGCTTAGTTGCCTTTGTATCATGCCAAAACGTCTCAATCCTGCACTTTACTATTAAAACATGGAGTAAAGGACAGCAACCCTGTCCAGGCAATCCTGACCACCCCCCACCAAGATTTTTTTAAGGTATGTGGCAATTTAGGGACACATTCAACTTACACATTATTCCCAGTCAAGTGTTATATACTGGATGCTTTGTCCAGTCACAAATCCCAAGGATATCTCATCTAAATGAGCTGCCAAATACCATCAATATAATCCTCATTCAAATTTCTCCCAACTACCATTTTTAAGCCCCAAGTTTCCCAACCAATCTATATTAAGCAAGTGCATGCTACTACAAGGTACGTTAGGAAGGTAAGATATTTTCAGTTTCTTTCAATTTAATGAGGGAGGTAGTTACCAGTACCACAGCTGAAATAAGGGGAAAAGTTATAGATCCATTTGATGTGGAAATCTGGAAAAATTTCATGGTGTATATCAATACTGGCTAAAAACTGACTTCTACCCTTCCTGTGGGTATCTCCACTTGTCCAAAAACTTTTCATAGGCTAGGTTCCAGCATTCCATCACTGTAAACCTTCCAAGATACTCCTTTCCACCGTCCCCAAATAAAGCTTACTTGTAACCTTCCCCCCAACATTTAAGGTCTTATATTAAGATACATCCTATCCTCATCAAAACCCTCCTGTTGTCTAAATCTCTGTAATTGCCATATTCTCTGGGCTCCGGTATACTCTGAAAATGCCCGATAACCACCACCATTTAAGCACTTCGCAACTGAATTCAGGGCAAAGAATTTTTTAAGCCGTGTTAACAAAAATACAAGGGAACAAATCCACACTTTTATTTATTTACTTTTCAGTAAGTTTAAATCCTTGAAGGGTACAGCATCTGGTGGGGAGGGGAAAGAACATAATGTCATTAAGTGCATGTTATATACAAACAGTTATTGAATACCACAACATGAATAAATCTCCCATTGTCCCATTACCCATCTCTGAAAGGCACCCAATGACTTATAGCCTACTGGGAAGGGAACTAAATTTTTAGAGCCTTCAGTTTCTAGGTGAACATTCTTTAAGAACCAGTACTGGGAACCTGAGAGTCCATTTAATTTTGCTTCCTCTAACGATAGTAAAAACCTCCTCTGATGAGAAATCTCAACTGCTCAACAGGGTTCAAAAGTACCTTGTGACCCCAAGGATGTAGCCATGTCTATTAAAAATAGATCCTAGGGCTTCCCTGGTGGCGCAGTGGTTGAAAGTCCGCCTGCCGATGCAGGGGACACGGGTTCGTGCCCCAGTCCGGGAAGATCCCACATACCGCGGAGCGGCGAGGCCCGTGAGCCATGGCCGCTGAGCCTGCGCGTCCGGAGCCTGTGCTCCGCAAAGGGAGAGGCCACAACAGGGAGAGGCCCGCGTACCGCAAAATAAAATAAAATAAAATAAAAATAGATCCTAACCGAAGAAAACAGGAGCTATCCTGTTAAAAATATCATAGAATCTGGAGTTGAAGTCCTGGGACATGAGCATTGGTTTTCCTCTATAAAATAAAACTAATACCTATTTGAACAAGACTGTCATGATGAAGAGATCGGAAATATTAATTATGGCAGGAAAAGGCATGTTGAATTTTTATTTTCTAGCAATTACTTCAGAGCCCAATAAATATATTTGCCATAAAATTGTTCATTTAAATAGGTGACCCTCGAAAAACACAAGTTTGAACTGTGTGGGTCCACTTATATACCCAGATTTTTTTTCAGTAAATACATACTGCACAATCCACAGCTGACAATCCACAGATGAAGAGGCCAACTGTAAAGTTGTACGTGGATTTCTCACAGTGCCCCTAACCTCTGCGTTGTTCAAGGGTCAACTGTGCTATTCCCCACCACCCCCAGGCAGCTTTAGCAATTACCTGAAATCTAGGCACAATCCATTTGAACCCTTTGCCTTCACTTTTCTTACAATGCCAAGAAAATGTTCCATAATACATTTACACAGTAGCCCCTAATTTTACAGCATGATCTATTGGTGACATTTTATAATCACAATAGTCCTTAGTAGTCAAAGCCAAACACCGTGAGCTTAGTTTGATTCAAAAGGTGCCACATTGCTAATAATGTACTTACCACACGGATTCTGTGTCCAATGGCCTTAGCAGGAAGGTTGCTTCGGAATTTGGCACGAACCATGCCACTGTTTCCATGAGCACGAGTTATCTTTCCCCAGATTACTCTGGTTTTGTTAGGTTTTCCACCAGGAGTTACTGTGTTGCTGATTTTAAAAGAAGATTTAAAAAGGCATGAGAACCCAGACAACCAGTACAGTGTGGTACAAAATCAAGGTGACTTCTAGACCAGTCGCCCTCAACCCTAGCTTAAACGGTAATAGCTGTAATATGCGGAGGGGGCAGGGAAGGGGGGGGACAAGAAATGTGAGGACATTTTGAGTGTAGGGAGAGAGGAACTTGTTTTTAATTTTAAATAGCCAGGGAAGGGCTTACTAAGAAGCTAACACCAGAAAAAAGACTCGAAGGTAAGGGAACAGCTTGTGTTAAAAACTGAGGGTGTGTCCCTGGCTTGTGGAAAGGCAAACGATGCCAAGAGATGAATCCTAGCTGGGTTAAGAGAGGACAGAGGGAGCCCTGAATGCATACGGTCTTAGAAGCTCCTTAATGACTTTAACTAAATGAGATGGGGAAGAGTTGGAATTTGAGCAATGTACAGATGATTTGACTTATAATTTTAAAGGATTGGGAAATCCCTGGTGGTCCAGCGATTAAGACTCCACGCTTTCACTGCCAAGGGCCCGGGTTCAATCCCTGGTCAGGGAACTAAGATCCTGCAAACCACGCGTGGGAAAAAAATTTAAAAATTTAAAGGATCACTCTGGTTGCAGGAGGAAAGGGGGATGGGAGAGATGAAAACATGTTCCCAAAGATCTTTTAAAAAAACAATTTAAATACACAATAGTCCACCCATTGCTTCCACCCCCGCCCCCACCTCTATCCCAGAGATTTTAATTGATCTGGAATGGGTTTAAGAACCAATGCTCTAGAGGTAACATCTTTAAACATCTATAAAAATTGTAACTCCAAGAGATCAACAAAATGAATTAAGCGATATGAAAAATGCTCTATAAAACCTTAAGATCATAATACAAGGACCTGACGCCTTCCTTAAAACAACAGCTGTAATTTTTCTAAGTGCAGAAGACACCTATATTCAACACTAACCATGAATTTCCTTGAACTCCCAAAGTAGAAACCACAACAGTACCATTTACTTAACTAACTTCAAACGAGACCAATCAAGTGAAAACTCAAAAAGCACAATACTATCAACTTACTTCTTTGCTTTGTACACGTAAGCACATCTCTTGCCTAGATAGAATTCAGTTTCATCTCGAGCATATACACCTTCAATTTTCAGGAGAGCTGTGTGCTCCCTCTGGTTCCGTAGACCCCGCTTATAGCCAGCAAAAATGGCCTTGGACCACAGCCTAAGACAAAATATACTGTTAATCGTAAGCTGTTAAAAGATCTCGCTTAACTTCAACAAACCACAGGTATGATTTGGCTTGTAATGACAACCACCTAGAAGTTACCTAAATAGCAAACATCTAAAATTTTTCCCCACCAGTTTTAAACTCACATGTAGGCTCACGCCTAATAAACAAACTACAAGTACAAAGCAATGATATTTAAAACGCATACCTTCCAGACATATTTGTCGTTTTAGAAGTCCTGTTCCCAGCAGGCCTTAAAACAAAAATAAATCAGTTTAAAATCTTGCAACGCGCGTTTCCCACCTAGTCTCCTCTGGAATAGCGCCCCAAACTCAGAGAATACCTGATAACTAAGCAAATTCCAAAAGGAAGACAAAACCTAAAGTAGCAAGACAGTACACTACAGGAAGTAACTCCTAGAAACCCCAAAAGAAAGCCTTAATAAAGTTCACGCCACGATCATGGGAAAAAAAAAGATCAAGGAGCCAGAGAAGCACGCAGAGAACAAGACTTTTAAACACTGAATGGGAAAGAAAAGCTAAGGAAAGACACAGTAAACAGGCAAAGCCAGGTTTGAGGTGGGAGTAAATGAACAAAGAACCCTGCCTAAAAGTGCCACTGCTGCCAGAAAAATGCATCTATTTTATATTTTACTCCGCTAGGGACCGCAAGCAACTACAGTTACCGGAGCACCCATTCTCGGAGGTCAGGGGACCAGCACCATCAGTCCCGTATCTCCTCCATCCTGTCCTCCCTGTTGCTGGAATCCATAGAAATCATCAGCTGGTAGAGCCTCGGAGCCGCACCAGCATCTCATGAGAAGCATATAGCCGAGCCGACCCCACTTATTTGCCCCCAAAGTTCAGCCGCGTAAACGCCACACACCTCCACAGGGTCCAAGATGGCTGAAAAAGAAACAGAAGGCCCCGCCGCGTGGCCTCGTGGGTAAACACCTCTCCGCCCCGCCCCCCCATTTAGGTATCTCCCGCCACCGCCAAAAAAATAAGCTTCAGAAATCGTCTTCTGACTGAAATAAGCCACGTTCAAGAGCACTCGTACAATTCTTTCCCTAAGTCCTTTTATCTTTGTAAACTGCAACATGTACTATATACTTTGGAACAGAGGGAGGCAAAATGGTAGCCAGCTAAAGGAGAAGAACAGGTCCTCCAAAGCTCTGCGTTGCCATAGAAACACCTTAGCTTGGTTCCGGCGGCGTCGGGTGCTGTAGCGGGAAAAGTGAAGCCCGACTGGAGGACTACCCCCGCCTCGAATACCCCAGATTTGATTCGCCAACAAGTGGGTATCTTTCCTTTTTACCACATAGCAGTAGGGCGAACGGAAACTCTCGGATCCTAGCCAGGAAGAGAAAGACTGCGAACACAAAGGCAGGAGAAGAGAGCTCTTCCTTCTCTTTATCTTTTGTCCCCCACCACCCCCTTACTCCTTTCCTCCTTCTACTCCTTTATCTCTTTCCAGAAATGACTTAAGTTCTTACCGCCAGTCTTCATTTTGACTCCGAGGGTGAACAGCACTGTCCTGAAAAGGCTTTGTTGCCTTTTAAGGAGAAGTCATTCAGCTGCCAAACTCTGGCGGCGCGCAGCACCGTGGTCACGTGCCATAGGTCTTCAGTAAATATTCGTAGACTAGAATGGGATAGCTTAGTGGACGTGAAAAATTTACATTTCCTAACTATTGCACATTTATGTGTTGCCCTATGGATTCATTCCTTTTGTCAGCAGTTTGTTGAATGACTGACTACCATGTACGAAATTTTGTTCTTGGCTCGGAGGAGACTGCAGTAAACAGAACAACAGAAAGCTCTGCCCTCATGGAGCTTACATCCTAGTAGGCGGAGCAAGACAATGAGCGAGTAAAATATATGGCACATTAGAAGGTAATGTGAGAAAAAATTTTCTCTCTGGAGATTGGCTCCAGATGGGGCAAATGGCAGATACCTAGAAATATGCCACTGATTTAAGCTGGTACCTGATGGACCAGTGGTGAAGAGGTGAGGGGAAGAGTCGTTCAACTTGAAAGAATAGCATATGCAAAGACCCTGAGTTGGAAGGGAGCATGATTCCATAGGAGAAAGAAGCCCATTGAAGCTGGAGCCATGAGAGCAATAAAAGGGCAGTGCCAGATGGATCTGGAGAGGAACAGAGGAGCCCAGATCATGCAGGCCCTATGGTCCAAGTTAAGAATTTTACTTTTTTCCCCAAGTTAGTGAGAAACCATTGAAGGGTTCTAAGGAGAGACATGATGAGATTTTCAACTTTAAAAGATGAGTTCTTCATTTCAAAAAGATCACTTTTAATTTGGAAGCTGTGGGGCTTCCCTGGTGGCGCAGTGCTTAAGATCGGCCTGCCAATGTAGGGGACACGGGTTCGAGCCTTGGTCTGGGAAGATCCCACATGCCGCAGAGCAACTAAGCCCGTGCGCCGCAACTAGTGAGCCTGCACACCACAACAACTGAAGCCCGTGCGCCTAGAGCCCATGCTCTGCAACAAGAGAAGCCACTGCAATGAGAAGCCCGCACACTGCAACGAAAACTAGCCCCTGCTCTCTGCAACTAGAGAAAGACCCAATGCAGCCAAAAATAATTAATTTTTAAAAATTTGGAAGCTGTTAGAGTAGTTCAGGCAAGAAACAACAGCTATATTCAGCATAGTGTTGGGGGAGATGGAAATTGAAGGTAAAATCCACAGGACCTCATGGTGGTTTGAATTGGGGGAATGCTGATGTCAGGATGGCAGGAAGGAAGCAGAAATGACTCCTGAGTTTCTAGTATTGAGGAATGAGAAGCCATAACAGAACGAAAGCACTGGATTCTACATAAGCATAGTCCCATCTTACCTATGTGAGGCACACTTACCTATGCCCCAGGCCTAAAAAATGGAAAAATAAAGAAACAACAACACAGCAAAAAACCAAAATCTTAACACCATGCTATTTCCTCCTAAGACTGTCCTTGAACCAGAAAATTTGGCTAGTTTGGAGTATCTTTTTTTCAGTTTACATAAAGATTCTTTAATTTTTGCATATAAGATGTTTGTTGCATGAGACATACTTGTAACCGCCCTCCTCAGGATCACTTTACTGTGGACAAAATCACACTGGAAACTTACCATTCATTATTCATTCAGTATAGAGCAAGAATCTCCATAGGGTGTTCTCATTGTAAAGCTTATTTAAGCAGAAAGGACTTAGGTTTACTGAGGCAGGGTAACATCTTAACAGCAGTGTTAAACTGATTTTCAGGATAAATATAGTTTTTCTAAGTGTGATCTCAGTTGTTTTTCTAAGTCTGGGTGCAATGAATTCTGTTAATCTGGCAGATCAGGGAAATGGAGCCATCAAATTAAATATTTTAGTAATCAGAAAAACAGCAAAGTAAATTTGTTATATAAAGATTACCAATTAATACTCAGAATATAATTAAAAAACATACAAAAGCCATGCTGGACACTAATTTACCTTAAGAAACTCGAAGATTATATTTATCTGCCAGTAATTAAGCTGACCACTTAATACGCCTGTGCCACACGGTGGCAGTGGTTCTTCCATCTCCGGGACTGCTCTGCTAAGCCAAAAGGGGAGATAAGCCACAGCACTTGTAATTCTTTTCCTCTTAATGGAAGAGTATAGAAATAACTTAAATGTCATTCAACATTCCCTTAAACTAATCTCAATGTTTTCTTCCCACTTTAGGTGACTGCATTTTTGTGAGATTATAAATGTACCAAGGAGGTTAACAAAACTAACTCAAGAAGAATGGAAGAGTATGTTCCAAATTCCAATTTATTATATATTCATATGTATATATATAAAAAATATATATATATATGAAATGCCTTATGTTAAATTTCCATGTATTGTTTACCTATGGCTGTGTAACAAATTACCCCAAAGCTTAGTGATTTAAAATATAAACATTTATTATTTCACACAATTTCTGTGGGTCAGGAATTTAGGCGTAGCTTGGTTGGATGGTTTAAGAATTTGGGAGCAGCTTAGCTGTATGGTTCTGTCTGGGGATTTCTCATAAGTCAAAGTTGGCCAATCATCTGAAGAGTTGACTGGGGTTAGAGGATCCACTTCCAAGATGGCTCATTTACAGAGCTGGCAAGTTGATGCTGGCTGTTGGCAAGAGGCCTTAGTTCCTCACCCTCATGAACCTTTTCACAGGGCTCCTTAAGTGTCCTTGTGACAAGGCATCTGGATCCCCACAGAGTGAGAGATATGAGAGAATAATGGAGAAGCTTTAATGTCTCAAATTCACCTAGCCTTGGAAACCACAATATTCTTTTGGTTACATAGGTTAGTCCTATTCAATGTGGGGAAGACTACCAAAGGGCAAGAGTACAAGAAGGTGAGAATCATATGGTCCATCTTGGAGAATGGCTACTACGTTCTATTTTTCACTAACCATGAGACAGTTTTGGTTGGCATCTAAAGATGTTGCTAGAAAAAAGTTTATTTTAGCCCAAGTTCAAATTGGTTAAGCATAGCCAAATAGCCCAGGCTACATACCTTTATTAACCAGTAAGTTGCTTTTCTTTGGAAGCTCAGAATGTTACTGGCAGGCATTTAGCAGAATCATCTGCAAACTACTTTTGTTCATTATCTTGGTTATATTATATGACAAAATGGACTTTGTAGGAGCCAATCTACATGCTGCCTCTGCTTCTGAGTTTAAGTAATTTTTAAACATTTGGTGGCTGACTTATTTTTTCCTCCATTCTTAGAGGTCAGCTGGAAGCCTCAAATCTTCCTCCAAAAATCTGGCATTCTGAGGTGAGAGTGTCAGTGACAGGTGAACCACCTACTGCTGTAGAAGAAAATGAAGAAACAGCCAAAGAAACAGCCGTAGAAATCATCCCAGAAGTCATGGAGCCACTCTCCTTTCTAGATGTACTGAGGATCTCTGCAGTTCTGGAGGACACCACAGACCAGCTCTCTATTCTAAACTATATCATGCCAGTTCAGTATGAAAAAAGAAAAAGTATCAGCGTGGTATATACATTCAGCATTACTTAATTTTTGCTTTCTTTTCTTTTTATTTCTCCATCATTGTCAGTACCTATGCCATTCAATTTAACTTGGGAAATAGCACCTTCATATCAGATAAAGGGCTACAATAATTATCTGAGATATGTACTCTCAATTAATGGAGTGAAATAGACATAGCTCAAGGTGCATTACCAATCAGAATATCCTTTTCTTCCAATATATTGGCATTATTCTAAAAGGCCTATAGATAAATCAGTATAAATACAATATATATACTGAGGAGATGGAACAAGTAATTGTGTTGTCTTACCTATCTTGTATTTCTCAGCTGCTAAAAGCTAACTGAACACTACAGGGAGGAAATTCAACTGGACCCTGTCAATATTGCTTTCATCTAAAATGACTTTGTTATTGCTAAATATCTTGCAATCTGCCTTTTTAAATATCCAGCCACATCATTGTGTCAGCCATTACATTTTCAATGATGTTATGGACTCCTCCTCAAAGGACCACTGAGTTATCAAAAAACTCAGCTTGGTAGTGAGCAAAATGTTTATGAATTCTTAAGCTCTTATAAGTTTTAATAACTTGGGTTGTAGATATAAAATAGAAACAATTTATAAATACAAATACATATTACGTTTAACAAAATTACATTATATAATTTGTACAGAATATATTCTTATTTCTGATTCTATGATAAATGAAAATTGCTATAAAAATGAGAGGGTAAATTGATTTTCATGTCTAACAGAAAAGAAGTCCATATGTATTTGACTAGAAAATTAAATTTCCCTTTAATTGCCCCTTACGATTTTAAATTGATTTTATTTTTATTTATTTTTGGCTGTATTGGGTCTTTGTTGCTGCGCGCAGGCTTTCTCTAGTTGCGGCAAGTGGTGGCTACTCTTCGTTGTAGTGCGTGGGCTTTTCATTGAGGTGGCTTCTCTTGTTGCGGAGCATGGGCTCCAGGCGTGCGTGCTTCAGTAGTTGTGGCACGCGGGCTCAGTAGTTGTGGCTTGCGGGCTCTAGAGCGCAGGCTCAGCAGTTGTGGTGCACGGGCTTTGCTGCTCCGTGGCATGTGGGATCTTCCCGGACCAGGGCTCAAACCTGTGTCCCCTGCATTGGCTGGCGGATTCTTAACCACTGCGCCACCAGGGAAGCCCGGCCCTTATGATTTTAAAGTTATTATTATTATTATATGTATAACCTGGGTTTATACAGCTTTTATAAAAGTTTATACAAAATTTTAATAGAACACTGGATTTGGAGTTGGGGACCTTTATTGTTTAATTGTGTGCTATGGGCAATTCATTTCGCTTTCTTGGTCTTAGTTTTCTCATTTGTAAATTGTGATAAGAGTTTTTTTTTTAAATTTTATTTATTTTTTGGCTGTGTTGGATCTTCGTTGCTGTGAGTGGGCTTTCTCTAGTTGCAGCCAGCAGCAAGCAGGGGCTATTTTTTGTTGCAGTGCATGGGCTTCTCATTGCAGTGGCTTCTCTTGTGGAGCACAGGCTCTAGGCACGCGGGCTTCAGTAGTGTGATGGAGTTTTAACTAAATGATCCCTTCTAATACTAACATTCTATGAGTTTTGAGGTACTTTTAAGACATTAATGGGTATTATAGGAATTAGTTTCCTTATTAACTTATGAAAAGCAAAGATATTGGAAACCCAAGAACTAAGCCTTTCAATGCTTTTAAAATGAGTCTAATTCTTAAATTAAACTAGTTAACAAATAGTACAAAAGAGACTAGTGTTTCCTTTCTATTGTCTCCTTCAGTAAGAATCAAAAATAAAGAGGGAAGATATTCAGTTAACAAGAAAAAGTTTTATCAATGATATTTACTGTCAGGCTTTAAAAAAGGGTAATTATCCATCATAGAAACTCAACAGAGAAGGAAAAACCCAAATTTATAAACAACATTCAGTAGTGGTCACCACTCCAGTAAACAAAAGAACAAAACTTTTGCAGTTTTATTCTGGTTTATGATCTTCACCCACAAAATTTTCTGACTTAACAGAGGCCCTACTTATGATTTTATAGAAGTATAAAGAGTAATGGTTTGTACTCTTATTTTGATTAATAGCAGCTTAAAAGCCCCTTTCTCAATGTTAGTTCTATAACTTTTAAAAATTGTGACCCTTAAAATAACTTTTTGTTTTTTTACTTTATAGTACTATAGTTGTTCTAACTCATAAATTTTTATAGTACCATTGCCCTATAGGGCATAGGATATATAATTAAGAACCTTAGTATGAATGTGAATGCTTTCTTTCTCCAAAAGCTTCACATTGTTGAGCCTTACAATAACAACCCTGGGATGAAAGTTTAGTTAGCATTATCCCTCTTTCACAACCATTTTTATAGCTAAAGATATTTCCAAAGAGTTTTTCATTCATTAGAATCATGGAATGGAATGATGAAAAATATACTAATGTACCAAGTTCTACCAGAAGTGGGAGTAATTGGTCCAAAGTTTGGAAAGAGCTCCCTTGCCCGGAATACTGTTTTTCTTATCTTTTCCCTTAGGATCTAATACCCTACTGTACAAGGAAGTGAATGGACCAGAATATTTAGCTAGTTCCTTTAAGTTCTCTTCTGAAAATTCATATTTATTTCTGGTAATCAGTACATCAAGCTGTTTAACACGTTTGCTTCCTTTTCCAGATGCCCAAGCACAAAGGTAGAGGGACAATGGTTAGGATGATCAGAAAAAACAAACTTTCCAGGCCTTACATTTCCCATTCCCTCCCTAGACAAAATCTAGAGTAATAACCATCCACGTACTTAACATTTTCCTTATGTACAGATAAGTTTCAGTTTAACTGTTGAAATTCTATGGCGTCTGTTCTCTTTGTAGTCAATCATATAAATTTTAATTTAAAGGAGTATTTTAAAATTTAATTCTTATTTAAGGCAGCATTTTATTTTGTACTTGCCTACAGATGTTTTCCTCAGATCTGAATCTTTGCTTATGGTTGATATAAGGAAAAATGCTGTTGAGTCTGTGTTTATTAACTTTTATGGATAGTTTTTTCTTTTTCTTTTTTTAACATTTCTGGTCTAATTGAAGTTTAGCTAAGGAAAACCTAGGCTTTTTTTTTTTTTGCGGTACGCGGGCCTCTCACTGTTGTGGCCTCTCCCGTTGCAGAGCACAGGCTCCAGACGCACAGGCTCAGCAGCCAGGGCTCACGGGCCCAGCCGCTCCATGGCATGTGGGATCTTCACGGATCGGGGCACGAACCCGTGTCCCCTGCATCAGCAGGCGGACTCTCAACCACTGTGCCACCAGGGAAGCCCAGACCTAGGCTTTTAAGTATCAATATACATATGAAACTCTTCTGTGCATAGGATCAGCACAAGAATTTAAGTAATCATATCAAATGCTGAACTTGCATAGTTCTGTGTACTGTTCTAAATACTTTGTTTCTTTCTTTTCTTTCTTTCTTTCTTTCTTTCTTTTTCTTTCTCCCTTTCTCTCTTATTTCTCTCTTCCCTCCCTCCCTCCCTCCCTCCCTTCCTCCCTTCCTTTCTTCCTTCCTTCCTTCCTTCCTTCCTTCCTTCCTTCCT